CCTTGATTTTGTCCTTTTATGAAACTCTGCATATCTTTCTGTTTTAGCCCCATGCTGTGAATCAAAAGTTGGTGGTTCGAAACCGCCTCTCTATTTCTCAGTATTTGCTTTGGGTTGCCCCCCGTGTATTAACGGGTCGAGTTCTAGCGCAACCCAAGTACGTTCGAAACCCGAAAACATAGTGGGTTTAGCATTTTATTTATTGTTAAAAGTAGAAAAAAAAAATGAAAATGATGCGGCAAATCATTCATTTATTTAAATTTAAAAAAGTAGCATTTTTACTTCCTCTTTTCAAACCATGACTTTCGACACTTTTTTGGTGAAATTAAGAATGATGAAAGCAGATATGATTTGCTTTTTACATTTTACTTCGTAAGAACAATTAGCTAAAATGTCGAAGTATATATCACTTTCGCACTTTTATTTTTCCATTTTTCTAGTTATTGGGTTTTATGTGCTTGCATCAGGGGCATTATCGTAGTTCAATCATACTAGAAGGTCATGTTAGGAGAACTGTTTTATTCATGACCGAATAGTATCTTCTATAAATGGAGAGAGTCCCATTTGGTTTATGAAAGATTAGTAATAGAGATTTACACATCACAAAATATCATTCATATCTCAAGTGTATAGAGTGGCGATCTTAATTATAGAAAATACGATCTTTCCATAAAAAAATTGAACATATATGCAACCGCGTGAAAAATGTGAAGAACTTTGAATCCTAGGTTTCCTTAATTGAATGATTCTACAAATAAAGAACTACTCAAAACAAGCTAGCTAGTCATGTTACAGCTCAGCTGTAAACTATTTAATGACCATTTTCCCCCATCACAAAACTTATTCTCAATCAGAAAAGGAAATATTGGGTTTTTAGGGAAATAAGCGGATCAAATCTCTAGTATATGCTTCCTTTCTAATTCTTCTTTCTTTCATGCTTGTTAGGGGGTGTTTGGTTCAATTTCTACAAATTATTGGAAATGTTTTCCACCCAAAATATGATTTTCTTGTATTTCTTAAAAAAAATTATAGAAAAAGTTTTGAGAAGCCAAAAAGTACACATTTTTTTTGTTTTTTGTACTTTGCTTGTTTGGTTCAAAACAAGAAAATGACCTATAACTTTATAGAAAATAGAAATAGCAAGATTTTCTATAATTTGTAGAAATTGAACTGAACACCCCCTAAATTTATAGAAAAGTGTCAATGTGGTATCATATTTCTGGGTGATTTTCGCCCATTTTGAGAGCAAATTAATTTCTGTAAATTTTGATACTTTTCTGTATTTTACAAAAATATTTTTGTAAATTTTTTTGAACCAAACACAATTTACAGAAATCTACAGAAAATTTTTAATTACAGAATTGTCATTGTCAGATATTTTGAGAAAACTTTTCTATAAAATTGTGCAACCAAACACCCCCTAAATGTAGCAAAATAATTAACTCTTCCTTGACTACAATGCTCCGAATTTCCTTTCTTGGATTAGAAGAGCGTGTGAACACTCAAAAAAGCTTTCCTTCGCCCAGAAGCGGGTGACGGGCAAGGCTAAAGTTCGCAGGGCACTGGCTCACAAAGCTTTCCTTCGCCATCTCTCAGCTTCGAGATCTCGGTCTTCAGGTACAAAGCTCAGTAAGTCATCCTTTGACTGCTCTGTATCACTTCCTCTTAACCGCACTGTAGACTCCAAGTTAGCTTCAGTTCTCTCGAACTGTGGAGCCAAAGATCCCATTCCCTCATATGGTATTATGAACATAAAGCAGCTAGAAGTGGAGCGTGCAGGTCTGGCCCTTTAGCATGTTCCACCCCTCTCCTTCCCCTATAGTGTAGTCCTTTTATCCCATGAAGATTGGTTCATGGAACGCAAGGGTCTTAATGACCCCATCAAGAGAAGATTAGTTAGAGATACCATCTCTTTTGCTTCTGTTGACATCATAGGTATCCAAGAATCTAAACTCAATTCGTGTAGACAAGTGGTCCTTAATAATCTAGGTAGGCCTAGTGTCACGCCCCGCTTCCCAAAATACCGGGGAATCGGAACGTGAACAAGCCCGCGACGTATTAGACTGAGAAGAGATAAGTGCTAGACCCCGTCTTCTCAATCTAATACGCTAAGCGTCTGGAAATAAGTACAATACGAAGTCACAGGTCCCCGATCACACATAGCAAGAATATAAAGACAACCCAGAATAAGAAATAAACATATCATCAATGGTAAATCATCCCAGACATAAAAATATGGGTCAAACGTACCCTTATACATATCTGAACAAATGAGTGCTGGAGAAATGTAAAATACAATGACCAAGCAGAAAAGAAATGCTACAAAAGTAAACTGAGATCATCGAACAACAAGAGGGAATAACTAAACTTCGGCTTCTTCTTCTGCTTCATCTACAAGGCACTCCTGCTGAGAATCTTCTGGCTCCTGTTGAACCTGTTCTTCTCCTAAGTCTGACGTACACCAGAGAAAACAGGTGTACGTCAGGTGCATGGCACACGGCAAGACCCGACCCCACAAAGAAAATAGAACGAACGGAAATCCAACGCGAAAAACGATACGATAACAGAAACAACAAAAGAACGTACAACTGAAATCCACAAATCAACATGAAAACACTACTAAATCATGATAACATAAAGCATCCAAAATCGATCAGGTAACGAATCATGCAGCTAGCGATCAGTCTAATCATCCAAATCATAAGGGCATACACTAGATGGAATTAATACTTAAAAAAATCTACAACTCGAGACGTAGTACGTCGAGCGAAATAATCCAAACAAGGAAACCCTCATGTATATACCATATGTCTCAAATTGTAAATAATTAAATATTAATCCCGATCTATGTATAAAAAGAAATATGTATGAAAGGAAACACAACTAGCTTATATCTCACAAGGACTCATACTTAACCAAGAACGAGGTCATGTAACTAACTATCTCATCACTCATCTCAAATAATCAACAATCTCAATATCACTGTTCCTCAGACTCACCCCAACGCTACACAGGAATATCGTTGGTGCGAGCCTGGAAATAATCAACAATCACATATCACTACTCCTCGGACCCACCCCGGTGACTACACAAACTTCACCAGCGCGAGCACACCTCAGACCCACCCCAGGCCGAAAAAAGACACTGGCGCGAGCCTGGAAAATAACTACAATCATAATATCACAACTCCTCGGACCCACCCCGGTGACTACACAAACTTCACCGGCGCGAGCCCGGAATATAATCACAATCACAACCGCTCACATGGACCAAGACTTCTCATCCCAATTCTCGTAATTCCAGGTCAACTACACACGGGATTCTAGATCCTAACTGTGTCATACATGTCACTATAGTCATTTCTAGATCCTAACTGTGTCATACAGGTCACTATAGTCATGAACTCCTAACAATTCTCAACATGAAATAATAAATGCAGTTAATCTAAGTGTCAATGTCATAAAGTGTGAACATGGGGTCGTGATCACATGCAAGAAACATACGAGAGTTAAACTGCTATTAACAGTACAAGATGAAACTACCATTAACAAATATTTTGCACACGAAAATCAAAATCTCAGTTATTAATTCCAAGAATAATTTTCTTTAAAATTATCTCTCATTATAAAAATCTAAAATAATTCTTTTTCTCAAAACAAAATCTTTTTAATTATTATAAATTCTCTAAAATAAATCCATTACTAAATTAAATTCTTTTAACTTATTATAATTATTTCGAAAACACTATTTATCACATATCTATTATTTAAACCAATATTATTCACCAAACAATCCACGCAGATAATTACGTCACAATTAAACTATGCAAATAATTCATAAAAATGTAAATAATCAAACTACGAAACAAGGAAAGCGGGATCTTGCGCATAAATAATCTACGACGAATATAAAAATTGGAACGAAACTACATAAGGATCGGGATCTTGCCTCGGGGTATTTGTCGAACGAATCGACGCTGACGACGCGGATCGGATCTGAGGCGGTGGAGCACGACGTCGAACAACGGCGAGCTCAACGACGAGGTGGCACGAACGGGGTAAAGGCAGCAGCGACGAGGTGGGGGCTGAAGGAGTTGTTGCTGGTCGTGGAGTTCGCCGGAGTCGAGGAGCAGCACGGCGAGGCTGACGGGGCGCTAGTCGGATCTGCAGGGGCGGCGTGCTCACGGAGGCGGTGAGTGCAGGAGATGGCCGGAGGGGGAGGCGTCGACAAGAGGAGAGAGGGGGCTGTTGTCGGGTTCAGGCACCGGCGAGGAGCGGCCTGGGCATGGCGGCGGAGCTCGGGGAGGAGAGGGTGTGACGAGGACTGGTCGGGAAGATCTCGACGGCGGCTTGGCTTGTCGGCGGCGGGGTGAGGTCGGAGGCCGGCGAGGGAGGTGGCTGGGGTGCGACGGTGTTTGGGTTGTCGGGGAGTTGGGTTCTTTTGAAGAGGGAGAGAACGAAGGAGAGATGCACTGTACGTGAGAGAGAGAAAGAAGTGGTCTGGCGGCGTCGAAACCTAGGGGAATGAGAGAGCTTATATATAAAGTTATAATTAGGGTTAGGGTTTAGGTATTTAACTAAAATAATTAAAATAAATAGTTATGGGTATTTAAAAATTAAACTAATTACATAATAATTATCTATAATTAAAAACGTACATATTGAGCTAATACAACAGTTAATACGAAATAGTCGAAATATATACATATTATACAATTAAATGAGAACAATTAATAATAAAAATATTTCTACTTATATTTAAAATCAAATAATTATGGGATAATTATATACACAGTAAAACGTACTAGTTATACTAATACGATAGATAATATGTAACAATAGAAATAATACAATAAATTATACCAAAAATACGTAATTAATAATACTATGTATTATATGAAATAATTTGTAATAATATTAAT